ACATCCCGGTTTGGAACTCTAGCTTGGAATTCTTAATAGCCTCAAAAACTGCTTCTTGTGAATCCCCTTTAAATGGAAGAACACCAACCAACAGAGCATGCAGGAGCACTCCAGCACTCCATATATCCGCCTTTTCTGAGTATCTACCCAACAACACTTCTGGTGCAACATATGCAGGGCTCCCAGCCAAACCCGTCAAGTTCTGACCTGCAATGCAAATTTCTAGACAATGAGGCTATGCATAAATTACTCATGTATGCATGTATGTATCTTTTACTTATGTGTGTGTATTTATATATATGTCAATTGAATTACTGATATTTTTAAATGCTTAAAAATTAAACAAAGTGACCTTAGAGTATGAATGGTAGCTTCAAACTATTATAAGCATTTTCTCTAGGACCTCTTATTCTTAGACCGCTAGCAAATTTAATTGAATACTGAACATAGTAAACTTAAGGGAGATGACCATTTGAACTCTCCAATTTTTACTCCTATGTACAGGGTAACATTAGTAAAGTACAATTCAGTTGAAAGCTCATCATGATGAACTTCTTCAAACTTGCCTAGACATTTTTTATTAACAGAATGACTAGGATGGAATTTTACACAAGGAAGGTTGTGTAAGGATTCTATTCATAGAAGTTAGCACATATATATACCATAGGATAACAAAAAAAGAAGATCATCCAAACAGGTTTAACATATTACCCTTAGAAATTCTCATGGCCAGGCCAAAATCAGCAAGCTTTATTTCCCCCGAAGCAGTAAGCAGAATATTCTCAGGCTTGATATCTCTGTGCACAACTCCCATATCATGACAATACTTGATGACCAACATCACTTCCTTAAGTATATTAGCAGCCCGCTGTTCAGAACAAGGGCCCTCCCTAAACATCTGGTCGACAAGTCTTCCCCCAGAGCACAATTCCATCACCAGATGAGAGCAATCAGCTTCCTCATACACTGCCAGCAGAGTCACAACCCCAGGATGCCCAGACAAGTGCTGCATTATCTCCACCTCCCTGTAAACAGTCTCATCCCCCTTCTTCAGAGTCTTACACGCATACTCCGCGCCGCCAACAAGAGACCTACACAACGAAACAGATCCATACTTTCCTTGCCCGATCCTCACCCCAGTAACATAATCATCTTCAATCTTGTTCTTCCTCCCCATCTGGGTAGCCACGTCAATGCAACCTATCTTCCTCTTTAGGCCTCTTCCCGCGGTCATCAGAGACAATGTCCCACAAGGAGGAGCAGTGGCAAAACCCGCCACCCTACTCTTGTAGGAACCAGCTGAGTCTATCTTAGTATTTTCTCTACACCTCTTCTTCAACCTCGAACAATCTTCCATCGAATAATGGGTCTCAAAATTGGACGACGGAGACCCATGATTGGATCTCAAAATGTCAGTCAATTTCGAGGACTCGTCACACTCACTTCCTTTCCTTTTCATCCTCATAGCATCTATCAGTAAAGTACCAACGCAACACCAATCTTTGTGTTGATCACGTACCCAGTGTGCAAAATCCGATTTTTGCCGCAAGACACAATTCTGCAGTCAAAATAGAGAAAGATCAGTCAACGAATTCTAGTCAGATTGATCATGAATGAACGCAAAACCACAAGGAAAGCATCCAAACACAAATATTAAACTTCAAGAAAGTAAATCGAACCCCGAAGCTTTCTCGCAACGTAATGGCGCCAAAAAGCGCCATCACATCACGAGACCCCTGCAAGACAAGAAAAGAAGATGCCAGAACATAGAAAGAAAAAGAAACAAACCTTCGCAATCCCAACCAATGATCCTGTAATGCGTTGCGGAGAGTATAAGCAATGAGAAAAAAGTCACAAATTGGGAAACTATTACGACGTAGTTTCTCAATCAGGGACTGAAACCCTAAAAATCTGCTATCAAAGTTTTAGGGGAATGCGCGAACGACAAGCATAGAAAAAAGAAAGAAAGAAGACGGGTACTCTCTGAGAGTCACACTCTTTTTGCTTAGCTAACGTTGTTTCCTTTAATATAATATAGGATGTTCCAGTTTATGTTCTCCTGCGTGCGTCACTATTTCAAGGGGTGTATTTGATTACGATTTTAAAAAATTTCCTCAATCAGTGGAATAAAAAAATCAACAGGGTCAAATTAGGTAAGAAAAATAATGAACTAGTAAGAAAAAAAATGAATATCGTCAAATTATATAAGAAAAAGCATTGAACGTGTATAAAGTAGGAACTGTTTTAAAAAACTAATGAATAACTTTAATTTGGATTTTGAAATGGTAACGCAAATATTGAATTCTGGAAATTATTGGTATTTATTCCCTTCTTTATATTGTTCAATACCAGATTAATTACCATTTAATAGTCATCATATTAACGAAATTGGACTTTTTTCCTTACACACGTTTCTCATTTTCATCATATTAATTACCATTCAATAGTCAACAAATTTCACATAAATGTTTGACTTTTTTGCAATTTATGCTTTTTTTAAAATAGAAATCGCAACTAACGTATAGTGAAAAATATTTTTTTCCTTAAAAATGCAGTTTTTGAAAGAAAAAAAAATTCAAACAAGTCCTTAATTTTCACCTCTGCTATTTTTTAAATTGTTGAAAAGTTAAAAAAAAAAAGATAAAAAGCTTTTTTTGTAATATTGCTCTTAACTTTGATCCAATCTGATACGCCAATCCCATGGGAATAACAAATTGGATTTTTTCCTTACACACATTTCTCATTTTCATCATATTAATTACCGTTCAATATTGTCATCATATTAACATTGAACATGCATAAAGTAGGAGTTGTTATAAAATACTAATAAATAACTTTAACTTGGATTTTGAAATGGTAATTCAAATTTGAATTCTGAAAATCATTGGTATTTATTCTCCCTTTATGATTGGTCAATACCAGGTTAATTACCATTCAATATTGTCATCATATTAACGAAACTGGACTTTTTTCCTTACATAATTTTCTGATATTCTTCTTGACTTTCTCCCTAATTTGTTCCCTAATTTCTATTTAATTTCTATCTTAGGAATTTCCTTCATCCAATACCTCACTTTGTTTTTCTTGAATTTCCTTTAATTGATTTATCTTAATTCATATCAGGAATTTTTTAAAAATAAAATAATATATACTTGATAATGGGTGTTTCCATTCCTTCAGTTAAAATTTTCAGTTTAAAAAAATAAATAGATTTTTGACTTTTTTTATGACTTTTGCTTTTTTAAAAAGCAGGCGTCCAAACATATTTTTTCATACATGCTTAAAAAATTTTTTTTTAAAAAAAAAAAAAAATTTCTTTTTCATTCATCTCTTTGTTAATTTTCTCTCATTTAAAGCAACTAAAATAATAGAAATCAAAAATTAAAAAAATTAAAGTTATCATCTCTTTCTTAATCTTTTCTCTTTTTATCATTTTTTTTCATGTCATTAAAAATTTATTAAATTTATTATTTTTCGTTTGGATGAATTTTTCTCTCACAAAAATGTTTCTTTCCTCAAAAAAAAAAGCAGGTATTAAAAAATATGTCTGGACGCCTGCTTTTAAAAAAAGCAAAAGTCATAAAAAAAGTCAAAAATCTATTTATTTTTTTAAACTGAAAATTTTAACTTCTAAAAATAACATAAGTCAAATATTTTTTCAAAAACTAAATATTTTTTAAAAATCTAAATAACTTTAACTTTTATAAAAAGCACTTCTAAAATAAGTAAGGTATAATTTTTTTTTTGAAAACTCATCCAAATAAACACTTATTCTCGTAGAAGTGAAACAGAGCACTTTTATTATTATTGTGAAGGAATGGAAACACCCATTATCAAGTATATATTATTTTATTTTTAAAAAATTCCTGATATGAATTAAGATAAAAGTCAAGAAGAATATCAGAAAATTATGTAAGGAAAAAAGTCCAGTTTCGTTAATATGATGACAATATTGAATGGTAATTAACCTGGTATTGACCAATCATAAAGGGAGAATAAATACCAATGATTTTCAGAATTCAAATTTGAATTACCATTTCAAAATCCAAGTTAAAGTTATTTATTAGTATTTTATAACAACTCCTACTTTATGCATGTTCAATGTTAATATGATGACAATATTGAACGGTAATTAATATGATGAAAATGAGAAATGTGTGTAAGGAAAAAATCCAATTTGTTATTCCCATGGGATTGGCGTATCAGATTGGATCAAAGTTAAGAGCAATATTACAAAAAAAGCTTTTTATCTTTTTTTTTTTTAACTTTTCAACAATTTAAAAAATAGCAGAGGTGAAAATTAAGGACTTGTTTGAATTTTTTTTTCTTTCAAAAACTGCATTTTTAAGGAAAAAAATATTTTTCACTATACGTTAGTTGCGATTTCTATTTTAAAAAAAGCATAAATTGCAAAAAAGTCAAACATTTATGTGAAATTTGTTGACTATTGAATGGTAATTAATATGATGAAAATGAGAAACGTGTGTAAGGAAAAAAGTCCAATTTCGTTAATATGATGACTATTAAATGGTAATTAATCTGGTATTGAACAATATAAAGAAGGGAATAAATACCAATAATTTCCAGAATTCAATATTTGCGTTACCATTTCAAAATCCAAATTAAAGTTATTCATTAGTTTTTTAAAACAGTTCCTACTTTATACACGTTCAATGCTTTTTCTTATATAATTTGACGATATTCATTTTTTTTCTTACTAGTTCATTATTTTTCTTACCTAATTTGACCCTGTTGATAATTTTTTAAAATCGTAATCAAATACACCCTTGAAATAGTGACGCACGCAGGAGAACATAAACTGGAACATCCTATATTATATTAAAGGAAACAACGTTAGCTAAGCAAAAAGAGTGTGACATCCTATATCGTATATTTCCCAAAGGAAACAACGTTAGCTAAAGCAAAAAGAGTGTGACTCTCAAGTTTAATATTTGTGTTTGGATGCTTTCCTTGTGGTTTTGCGTTCATTTGATACCCAGATGGGGAGGAAGAACAAGATTGAAGATGATTATGTTACTGGGGTGAGGATCGGGCAAGGAAAGTATGGATCTGTTTCGTTGTGTAGGTCTCTTGTTGGCGGCGCGGAGTATGCGTGTAAGACTCTGAAGAAGGGGGATGAGACTGTTTACAGGGAGGTGGAGATAATGCAGCACTTGTCTGGGCATCCTGGGGTTGTGACTCTGCTGGCAGTGTATGAGGAAGCTGATTGCTCTCATCTGGTGATGGAATTGTGCTCTGGGGGAAGACTTGTCGACCAGATGTTTAGGGAGGGCCCTTGTTCTGAACAGCGGGCTGCTAATATACTTAAGGAAGTGATGTTGGTCATCAAGTATTGTCATGATATGGGAGTTGTGCACAGAGATATCAAGCCTGAGAATATTCTGCTTACTGCTTCGGGGGAAATAAAGCTTGCTGATTTTGGCCTGGCCATGAGAATTTCTAAGGGTAATATGTTAAACCTGTTTGGATGATCTTCTTTTTTTGTTATCCTATGGTATATATATGTGCTAACTTCTATGAATAGAATCCTTACACAACCTTCCTTGTGTAAAATTCCATCCTAGTCATTCTGTTAATAAAAAATGTCTAGGCAAGTTTGAAGAAGTTCATCATGATGAGCTTTCAACTGAATTGTACTTTACTAATGTTACCCTGTACATAGGAGTAAAAATTGGAGAGTTCAAATGGTCATCTCCCTTAAGTTTACTATGTTCAGTATTCAATTAAATTTGCTAGCGGTCTAAGAATAAGAGGTCCTAGAGAAAATGCTTATAATAGTTTGAAGCTAACCATTCATACTCTAAGGTCACTTTGTTTAATTTTTAAGCATTTAAAAATATCAGTAATTCAATTGACATATATATAAATACACACACATAAGTAAAAGATACATACATGCATACATGAGTAATTTATGCATAGCCTCATTGTCTAGAAATTTGCATTGCAGGTCAGAACTTGACGGGTTTGGCTGGGAGCCCTGCATATGTTGCACCAGAAGTGTTGTTGGGTAGATACTCAGAAAAGGCGGATATATGGAGTGCTGGAGTGCTCCTGCATGCTCTGTTGGTTGGTGTTCTTCCATTTAAAGGGGATTCACAAGAAGCAGTTTTTGAGGCTATTAAGAATTCCAAGCTAGAGTTCCAAACCGGGATGTGGGAATCAATATCTAAACCTGCACGAGATCTTGTTGGGAGAATGCTGACAAGGGATATTTCAGCAAGGATAACAGCTGATGAAGTACTTAGTAAGTTTATGGTAGATTATTAATGTTTTGTAGCGTGCTTTATCTCTCTTCCTCAATGATGAATACACCAAAGACTAGTTGTATTTGGTCTGATTTTTTGTTTTTTAATCTTGAAATAATTAAAATTAGAAATTTCCAAGTTTTGTTGAAAAGTATCTTTGCCTTTCACATGAATTCTTAATAATTAGAAGGATTGCCTTGTTTTGGTTGGGATAACAGTGGTGGGAATCTGTTAATTCTCACATACTTTTGTTAGTTTTTATTATGTGTTCTTCTATGTGGTTGAGGCTCTCTTTTTCTCCCTAATGTTTTTAAACAGGAAATAAAATGACAGTACTTTTAAGTTTTAAGAACTGTTCGATTGTTTGCATGTTAAATTAATATTATGTGGTTCAATTTCAGGACATCCATGGATATCTTTCTACACAGAACGTACATTGAAGATCCTGCCCGTTGAATCAAAGTTGAAGCACCAAAATGGAGCTGCTTGCCACAACTTTGTTGCTGCACCTGAACCTAGGTTAGGAAGAAACAGGATGGATGATGGGTTCCTTAATGAGGTTTCAAGCCTTTCTTCATCATCTGAAAGTTGCAATTCAGAATATCATGATGTTTGTGTGTGGATTGATGCACTTGCCAATGCAATTTCACATGTAAGGATATCTGAACCAAAGAGGAGCAAGTTGTGGGCAGTTCCAATTCATCAGCAAGGTTTATATAACATGAGGGCTAACCTCTGTAAAGCATTTTGACCTACTGACAGGTTGACACCCCATAAACCACTATCTCTGCTGCTTTAGCTGGGGTTTTATAGTATACTTTGCCCAACACATTCTACAGTTGGCAAAAGTGGATTACATTTTTTTCCTCTAAATAATGATTACTGAGAAAACTCAGCTAGTTGTACAGAACCTGTGAATATGATATTAGTGTGTCACTGCATGTTTTTGCTCTTGCTGGAGCATGATAAATAGAATGCTATGATTTCACTTCAGTGAAAACTTGACCCTACTCATATGTTTTTTTGGAAGATTTTAATCTGAAACCATGAGTGCATAAGCGTATGTTATCCCTCCCATAACGCGCTGCATGTGTACTTATTTAGTGTTGGCAATTTGTATTTCAAGACATACTTTTTTGTACAGATGGTAGCGAGGAGTTTGACCTTGAGTCAATTATATATAGCAATGGCGTTTACTTTGAAAATGGAGTTGACAGCTGCTTGCTTATTTTCACTGAAAAAAAAAGGAAAAAAAAGTACAGCTACTTGTGTTTAGAAGAGGCGAATCTTAACTACCGGGGGATAGATTTTGAAAGGCTATAAAAGTTTGGATCGGATCGGATCGGATTTGAAAACAAATCAAAACCGAAGGGATGATTATATGATCAAAACGAAGGGATTGGATCGGATGAATTTTGCTTCCAAAATCGATCTAATCCAGACCGCGAACACCCCTAGTGAATCATATGCTAATATGGATTGAATTTTGGTAACTTAAACCAGATTAATTGATAAGTCATGACTCAATTTAACAACTCCGGTATCGAGGTATAAGTGTTTACTCTACTTTCGCTTTGAGTCAACTATGTATTATGGTAAAATAAGAATAAAAATTTCATGGATATATCTTAAACATAATTTACTAATAAAATTGATTCATGAATTTTTGCCCTCATTTTTACTCTCATGGCTCAAAGTATTCCGATCAAATCAGGAAAAAGAGAGGGATTTAGTGTGTCCTTTTAAAGGACGTAAATTATGTCCTTTTAGACATAAATAGTTTTGTCAATAAAGAGAGGACAAATGATATATTTTAATTAAAATACGAGATAATTCTCTTTTTGTTTTTATTAGAAGAATGGGATGATTCTCTATAATTTAACCTTATCTTTGGATTGAGGGGAGAAAAGGGAAGAAAGTTTTTAAAGTTTCAAATCTTTTATCAATTGACTGAAGAGAAAAAAAAATAAAGGAACTAAAATAATAGAAATAAAAAATTAAAAAAATTAGCATCATCTTTTTTTTAATCTTTTTTTCTCATTTTCTTCCATGTCATTAAAAAATTATTAGGGCCTCTTTGGATGGGTTTTTCTCTCTTCAAAAGTTGTTTTACTTCAGGAAAAAAAAACATGTATGGGAGAAATATGTTTGGACGTCTACTT